GTATCAGTAGATTACATAACACAGCCCCATGGATAGTGAGGGCAGTGTGCCACGGCAATATACGGGCATAACCCCGCGACCGGGCACACCTTCCATACTTCCAAAATGTAACCTTCTACACTGCGCCCTTTTTCCCTATCAAATGGTAGCAGCGACTGCACGCATCTAGTGACAGTCACCAGAGTACCGTGAGTACTATAGTTCAATTCTCGATGTATTTTTTCTCATTCGCTTGGTCGCGATAATCCGTCAAGGAGACGCGCCAAAACCCTGCCTCACGGTAACCCGACCGGGGACGTGAAGTAGCTGACCTCCCCTCTACCCTCTTAGGCGACTGTTCGCAAGAGCACAGCCAACCGTCACTGCAAGCAATTGAATAATCCTCGGAGATCAATTGTCCTGCGCCTGGCGGGTCAGTTCGCGGCATCGTCAAAGCACCGTGTCTAGGCACAATCCACTAGCGACGCGATCCATTTAAGGTCAATCGCCATGGCAGCCACACGCCCGACCGTGGGCGGCTACGAATCTGACCTGGGCGACGACTCTCAACAGTTCCTTGATCCCGACAACCCAGATAATGCCGATCCTAAAATGTCCGTCCTAGGTCGCTATACCAACCTCCAGCCCTCTGTCCAGCAGCAACTCCGTCAAATGGACCGCGCTAGAGGCCCTGGCACACCAGCCAAAAGCTCCCACCTCGGGATTCCAGGACCCTATCGGGGCAAGCCACCGAGCTGCTCACCACCGAGAGACCTGTTGCACAGCGCCCTGCCGAGTTAAAGAATAACATTTCCTCCCTTACCTACCTCGAGAACCTCAACCAAGGCGTCCAGTGAGACATGGCCCAGCTTGGCAAGATAGTTGACGACAAGTTCGATCAAATTGCCGGTCAACTTCATGATGTCCTTGATCAGTCAACGCGGTTAGTTAATCGTCAAGGCCAGGAATTTAAGTCCGAAATGAACAAATAGCGCACTGAGTTCCGCCTGGCCAACGACAACCTGTCCAGGCAGATGGATCTCATTCTCAAGGCCATCAGGTCCCAAGACAATGACGACGCACATATCGACCCTACCCGACTGTTCAGCCTGCCGTCTCTCAGGCCCTCCCCGATCCTTTTGGCACAGCTCGTGCGCGCAGTGTTCCCCCTCAGTCAAGCGCTCCTGTGGTGGATTCAAACGTCATAGGCATCTCAAGCGGGCAAGCCCAGCGCTTTTATACGACAGACCGCCCGAGTAACCCAACGTTCGCTATCCAGAACCCCACCCCCACCACGGTCAACGTGGTCAGCTTCGCATGAGCCGTCCCGCCCACACTGCACCAGCAGGGCTTCCTGATGAGCATGTCTTCGGACCACTCCCTTCTACAGAGCTCCCCGCTAGGCACCGTCAGTATATCACTCCCCCTCTCCAAATGGGACACCAGAGTCAGCCTCATGTTGGTTTTCAAGAACAACAGCCCCACCCAACAGACGTCCCTCGCAGACAGTCCCGTCAATCCTCGCACCGGCCTCCCAGCGCCATCCCTCGCCTATATATATGCCGACCTACCCCGGCGGTCCACCGGACGGCGACGACAATGACGGACCGGACTTCGGTTCCAACCGTCCCCGGCACGGCTCGGACTATAGAAACTTCGGTGGTAACGGTCGGCGCCTAGACCACAACACGGTATCATATGCTGGAGGGCTAGTCAATACTTGGGACAACTTGCCTGTAGCCCGCTCGGCAGCTCCGTACCGCATCAGGCGTGAGAAAACTGGCCAGTTCAACCCCGACGAGGTTGACACCAGCGGCACCGGCATGATCACAGACGGCAAGAACATCACCTTCACGGACATTTATGCCTTTAAACTTCGCGTCAAATCTTTAATCGAGGAACCGGCAACCCATGACGAAGCGGCAGCCCAAATTGCGTCATTCTTCCAGACGCTTCTGGGAGGATCTGCCCCGTTGTGGTGGACCTCCGAGCTTACCGTCGAAGACAGGTTTGGGCTCCGTAAGGGAGGATTGGGCCTCATGATGAAGGCCCTTATTAAGCAATACGGTCCCGACATCGCGCACTCGACTGCCGAGTACAACAAAGGCAAGTTGAGAGTTGAGGACGTTGATGAGGATCCCAACGCAGTTACGCGTTGGATTCAGCACAAAATCCGGTATGCGAAGTCTGCTGGGATCCTCAACCCAGATAATAGCAACTGGCTCGGTGTCCTTACCCAGGTTTGGGCGCGATTCGACCTCGCCATCAAGCGTGTCATTCCGCCTCCCGATGAAGCTGATTCCCTCGCCGACTCAGCACTGCCAACAACTCAAATAAAGTCAACTCAAATAACTCAAATCAACTCAAATAGCCAACTCAAATAAGCCATTTTTGAACCCAACTCAATTCAAATCGACCGGTTATTTGAGTTGGGTTTAGCTCAAATATTTCCATCGCTTGGGCCCTTTTTGGGCCCAGTTTTCCCTGCATTCCTGGGCTCAGGGCAGCATTTGGCCATGGCCAACCTGGTAAGATCTGGGGCTTCCTGGCCCAGGGAAAAATTCGACTGGACTGACCTGGTTTTCTGCAGTGCCATCGACCTGCGTTGCAGCGCTGTAACTATCGCCAAGTCAACAAGCTTCCTTTCCTGCCTTCCTACTGCGAATTCGCTGCTTCCTCGCTTCCAATATGCGAACCTCGACTATCAATACCGCGGCCCTCTCGTCGAACAGCCCGCACGCAGAAAAACGACCGCTTGACGTTCAAGACCGTACTTCCCGAATTACCCAGCAGTACCCTCGCCTGGCAGCGATCGACCCAGCGGACTTGGCCCACAAGGAAGTGAAGGACTGGCCCACGATAAAAACACCAGATGGTTCCTTTATACCAGAGTTTTGGGTAGGAAAAAGAATAGCAAGATCGTCGCAAATTGGCGGGCATGGTGATTGGCTGGCCAAGGTCGTCAACAACGCAGTAGAAGAGGGCAAGGCAGATCAGCGAGTTTTCCTGAAGTTATTGTCAGAAGCACTGCACACTGCACTGCATACTGGATTCGGTGGAAAAGATGGAGTTCAAAGTGATTTTCATTGAGATCTCTGCTCTTCCCGTGCTCTTTGGCTCAGTCAGAGAACCTCTATTATAGTTATGAATGGTGGCAAACAGTAGTCGTTGCTAGCTGAACTAACTACGTAAAGTTCAGCTTCCATGAGCTCTTTTTCAGCTCGCATAAGCACTTTTTCAGCTTGGTTGACCATACCACTTGGTGTTCTGGCACTGCGTGCCAGAACCCCCTTCTTTCTGACAGTTATCGCCACAACAGAGTGGCTGACTGATCACCTTGCTCACCAGCAGCGAATTCTGCACCCAAATTCCGAGGCGCCAACAGAGTTCACGGGTGGGCCTGTCTACGCCCGGCCAGAGATCACAGTCGCTAGCCAACAGGCTCAATCAATCGCCCTTGACGACGACGACGATGCCGACGACGATGCCGAGCCTTTCTTCTCTGCCGCAGCGAATTCGTAGCGACCTCGGCGCAAACAGCGGCTTCCTTGCCGGCTAGCCGACTCGGTCATCGACCTGCCGCGGCGCCTGCCGACCGGCCAGGTTATCCTTCCAGTCTTTGAGTTGGCCGACGACCTACCTGCCCTGCCCTCCTCCCCTGATCCTGACGACTATCACGTTTCTTTTGTACGAACCAGTCTCCAACTGGCCATTCAGAAGCTTCAAGAATACATTGGGTTGATGGAAGAAAGCCCTGCCTACTGGGTCGCTATGGTCTTGCACCCTGGGCACAAGAAGAGGTGGATGGATAAATGCCTAAGCCCTGACAGGGCCAGGAAGGCATTCGCTGCCTGCCGTGATCTTTACCAAGCCGAATACGCCGACCTTCCTGTGCCTACAGCGCCGCAGCCACCAGCCCTGTCAGGCCCAGGCAGTCATCTTCGCTCTTACGACTACTACGACCCGCCTGAGGACCTGGGCCAGAAAGACGAGCTGGCTGAGTACTTTGCAGAACCTGTTTGGCCAGTGGATGACATACAAACCTGGTGGTTGGCTCACAAGGAACGCTGGCCTCGATTGTCAAGGATGGCTTTGGGCCTGTTGTCGTACCAGCGATGTCATCTGAGTGTGAGAGGGCCTTCAGCCAAGCCAAGCTGGTTATTGGCACGCAACGACATTCCTTGGTCGACGATACCATCAATATCCCCATGTGCATGAAGAGCTGGGTCTTGTTTTGAGGGCGTTGGCTGGATTCAGCGCTCTTTTCTGGTCTAGGGAGTCAATTCGGGGCCAAATTTGGCTAGATTTTCGTGTTTTTTTGGTGGTGTGGCAAGTTCCGTCAAATAAGGCCAAATAAAGCCAACTCAACTCAAATAGGGCCTCAACCCAACTCAAATACAGTATTTTGAACTCAATTCAACTCAAATATAGCTTCATATTTGAGTTATTTGAGTTGTTGGCAGCGCTGCTCTGATCGTGACAATCTACACCAGAAAGAAGCTGCGCATCTCATAGGCGTTGGAGTCGAGATTTCTCTTACCGCCTCCAAAGTTTGCATACTCGGCGAAGCCCACGCGCTCAAAGACGTCGCCGTACTTTGGGTCTAGACCGTCAACCGCCTTGAGCACCAAGCAGCTCGTACTTCGCGAGGCATCGAACATTTCGGCTGCCTCCCTGATCCAGCGAGCGTACTTGATCTGCTGGGTCAAAACTGGAAAGACATACAGCACGTCCATAGGCCTGACCTGGTGGATGCCGGGACTCTGGATGTCAAAATCGGGTGCAAACACCAAGCCTGGACTGTCTTCGGCGTCGAGTTGTTGGGTCCCGACGAGGTCGCTGAGGACGAACTCCCTTTCAGTGCCATTCTTGACGGGCCGCAGCGTCCACGCAGTGGGCAACATCTTGCCCTGCAGATGAAGCGAGCAGCCCTCGGCGACTGCCCCAAATGCGTCGTCTGTCGTAAGCGACACGTGCGTGTCCAAAACCCGGAACTCGGAGATCTGGCCGTGTGCCTCGAGATAGCGTACTGCATCTAGCACCGACGCCCAGGACCATGTAGGGGCCACATATTGCTCGGGCCGGGGCTTGCGGGATCCCGAGCTCCCGCTTCCTGTCACTTCTAGTCGCTGCTCGTTCGCCTTGTTTCTCAGCAACGTCTCCCCTACGAACCAGGCCATATCTCTAGGCAGTGTGTGGCGCCACAGCCCAGCTAGATAGGAGACACCCGAGACCACAGGGCCGCCAGTATTGGCCGCGAACTTAGCGTATACAGCCGCCGCCATCCCAGAAACGGCAGTCAAGCGATCCGTTGGGACGGTTAGGGCCAGGGCACTGTACATGGGGACGAGCTCATCCCACGGGAGATGCTCGAGATGTGTCCGTCTGCGAAGGAGTCCGTGGCGGGCCGTGGTCGTCGACCGGATCGCCGCAAACCCAGCACCGAGGCCAATTTGCTCTATGAGGTCTTTCGCAGCTCCGCCGCACTCGCATGCGGTTGTCTCGGCACACTCGAAGACCACCTCCTGCTTCCCGAAATGCAACACGCGAGGGGCCAGCCAGCGCTCCTGTAAGACCCAACCGCGTGTCAAGAGAGGAAAATCGCGTATTGTTGTGTCCGTTTTTTGGGCCTGCACAAAGTGAGGTGGAGGCTGTGCCTGGCCTGCCGGCTGCATCAGCAGGCCGAAGCGGCGTTGGCTCCGCGGGTCAGCCGGCGCTGAAGACCGCACCGCCGATGGCCGGGTGGCATCCAGCTCGAACCCAGCGTTGGAGCTGGCCGAGCTGGTGGCGGCAATGCAGATCTTGCATTGCGAGTAGTACTGGCCCATCTTCGGTGACTCGCGCTGCCAGTCCTCGACGCTGTCCTGAAGGATGCAGAGCGAGTCGATCCAGATGCGCGAGATGCCAAGGCGCCTGCAAGCTGCAATAGCGCTCACAAACACGGGCGGAAGGAGGTCGGCGGGTATCCCGGCCGAGAACCGGTCCTCGGTCTCGCGGTTCAGTGTGCAGACGTGCTTGCTGCCGCCCCAGCAGTGGCTCAGACACGCATAGCTCCCCCGCTCGCCCGGCGAGGCTGTAACCACTCTCGCGACGTGACTTTGTCGGCCATCCTTCCCAGTGCCGGGCCCGATATCCAGGTATCGGGACGGAAGCTCTGGTGCATCATCCCCGACATATCGACAACCGACGTGCTTGGTGGAGCATGTTTCGAACCACTCCTCAATGGCTGACCAGCGACGGTCGGGCTCGAGCCAGCACGAGTTGCTATTGTTTCTGGCCAGCGTCGTCAAGTGCCTCGGTATTGCACTGAGCTTTTCGTTGTCGTCATGGTCGGTTCTAGCCGCCTCCACGTCGAGAAGGAGAGTGTAGCGCGTCTCCATCATCGTGGCCGCTTGGCTTGGCTTCGGCCGTAACAGGGCCTGCCACTTGTGCTTGCCACCAAGTGTCGCCCGAACGACGAGCTGCACTTCGCGTTTAGACTCGTGGCTCCAGGACTCCCGTGTGCCCGGTGCGGTGGTTACCCACGCCTCGTGCGATGCCGCTTGGGGCGTGTAGGACTTGATGGTGTCACTGAGCAGCCTACAGAGAACACAAGTTGCCCGAACGGACTTCACACTGGGCAGGTCAAGTTTGGTGATATGCCCAGACCAGGGGGTGTAGAGGACGCCTGCGTAAAACAGTTCCCGGCAGCCAGGACAATCCGAGCCGGATTGATGCCTGTATAGCAGAGTTAGCCGACGGTGCCCAAAGCTGAAAGGTTGTTGGACCGAGCCTACAGGACCAGATGGCCGCCTCTGGATGTTACAATACCTCTCAGGTCGATGGACCTTTCTTGCCAGGCCCCGCGTCCCTGGAAACCCGCACGGAGTATTCCATTTTGCAGTCTCGTCTCGCGTGCCGGCTCGGGAATATCCGGGCTCGAAAACCAGGGACCGCCAAACATCTGGTTGACATTAGGCCCCAACACTTCATGTAGGGTGAGGAGGGACTCTCGAAACGTGCCTCCGGGCACCTGGAAGTCGGCCAGCAGATACCAAAACCTCTTCCGCCTGTAGTTGAGGAGGCGGATGTTGGTGGCGTTGGGGATCCAGCTCCGTTCCTGGATCGCCCACGGATCGTCCCTGAGCACTTCAAGGTCGAGTTCTTCGGGTGTGATGTCCTGCCTGAGCGGCTTCGGGACGCCCTCTGTTACGTGCAGGATTGTCTCGAGCCCGATGGCGGCCCGGCCCGGCACGCCACCAGGGCCCCCGGCGTGATTCCACACTGCGTACATCATTGTCCCGACCAGCTCCACTGCTGCTGCCGACGACGAGAAGCCGCGGCCGTGCTTGTCGAAGGCGCCGTTATTATGGCCGAGGCACTTGTCCAGGTTGATGTAGACATCCCTGTGGCTCCCGTCTGCTTGGAGGCATTGGCCTGCCAACATGAACTTGCCCACGAGCCTGAGATTCCGACACCACGGACCGAGCCTCTGCGGGTCGGAGCGATGCAGGTGCACCCTCGGTGGGCTTGACGTGATGGGCGCCTCGGGGAATAAAAGCTCAATGACGACCTGGTCGTCCCACCACACGCCACGGCTAGTCGAGAGCTGGGCACGCAGGACATTGCCGGCCAGAACAACATCCCGCGCGCTTCTGGAGAAATGGAAGCCGCCCGTATCGAAAGTCCCCTCGCTGTTGCCAACCGAGTAGTCGAGGTCCACCGGAACGAGACAGGTTTCGCCATCCCAGTTGACATATTCAATCTGGAGATGACTTTTGCTCTCCAGGGACAGCGACAGCAGGCGTGGCGACGGCATCTTGGCTGCATGCCTGTACTGATTGGGTGTTGTTGTGTGAGTGTTTTTGTGTGGGTGTTTCTCTTGCATAGATGCCAGCGCTATTGCCAGGCAAAGACGCGCCTGCGGGGTTGACCCATCGGGAGACCTCGGCCGTACCATTTATTCGCCATTCCGTCCGCGGATTATTCCAGAGTGGTCAGGGTGGGTCTTCAAGGGTATATCTAGGTAGCTTCTCGCATATAGGGATATTCCTGCCCCAGTACGACCTCGCCTGACTTCCCAATCCACCGCTGTGGATGATATTCCGTAAAGAGAAGCGACGTTAAATGATAACTATACAATTTCACAAAATAGCATAGTTGGAGAAAGTTGCCTTTGCCTCTTTCAGCCAATTCGCGAACTGTGGGAAAGCAAAGCCGAGTGCATAATTATATCACTACTGTTGTTGAAAATAGCTTCTTCTTCGCATTGGCCTTGATCCGGGCCACGGCTACAGCCCAATCCCAAGACCAAAGTCAGTAAAATCTTTCCCGTACAGAAGATACGGGTCGTCAAGCAGCCCGTAGTCCATGTCTGCCGTCCTTCTCGGCCGGCGCTCGTTGTTGAGCCACGGCGGTGTCCGCCCGAAGCGCAGCTGCCAGTCCTCTGGCTCCGGCGCGTTCTCCATGTCGGCCTCTTGGTACGTGTCCCACGAGGCCCGCGTCGCCGCGTCGGGCATCTCAAAGCCCCTACCCCTGATGTCGAGCGACGCCTGGAAATTGCTGGCCTTGTCAGATCCCGGCCACACAAACGGACCCCTTTCGGGAACTTGCGGCTGTGCGTAGCCCTGGCTAGCGTGGAGCGGGTTGCGGTCCGAGTCCACGGGGTCAAAGTTCCTCCAGTCGCTGGTGGCGAGCAAGATCTGGTTTCCTCGCCAATCGTCTTGGTCGACCGTTTCGATGTGGCCACAGACGGAGTATTTGTATGCAACTTGATCTTGGTAGCGATCAAGCGGGATAGCTCGCGGGTCATCTTCTGCTCGGGCGTCCATGAGGCGTTGCCGCCGGGTAGCGGTCGGTGACTGCTCACGATGCGGACCTGCGCCCGGGAGATACGGACCGGCGCCCGGGAGATGCGGACCTGCGCCCGGGAGCTGCGGCCCGCCATGCCCGCCATCCGCTTCGGCGCCATCCGCTTCGGCGTCTGTGTCGGGCTCAAACACAACGATTTGGGCACAGAAGTAGTCGGCCACACCCATAGGATCTCTTCGCTGCAGAATGCGGGCTTCCCTTGGGCCTGGCCCGCGTGGAGCGCGCGCACCAGGCTTAGTTCGCCAGAGTCGGGGTCGTTGGTTGTCGAGAGGCGGTTCAGCCTGTGGTAGTCACGCCACCGCACGGCGTCCCGGTCGTAGAGGCTCTGCATGAACCACGCCCATATACGGCCCTTGACCTCCCAATGATTCCATATGATCCTGCCGCCACTCTGCCTCCTCACCCTGCTCTGCTGCCTCTCTCCGCCCCGCCAGTAGGAAAGACTGCCAGAGCGAGCCTGGACCCTGCGGAACAGGAATGGCTCGGAAGTGGTGTCTGCTCCCGTTCCTGTCCCGGGCAGTGAAGCCCTGGTATCTGTGAAAGGTGTGCCACACCGTCTGGTAGCGCGTGTTCATGTCAGCTGCTTCGTTGTAGCCGGCAATCCCGGCCTCCAGCTGCAGATACTGTCAGCTATCGCCGTGACCGGTTGTGCCCACGCGAGGTCCGTCCAGATCTTCAAAGCGGTTAGGATTCTCGCGGCGGTCCATTTCCGTCATCCGGAGCCGCGGGAGGCCGACGTGCCACCGTGGGCTGCGGAACCCCAGAGTCCTCAGAGCGTCTAGCATGTATGCACTAGCTTTTTTTGCGCTGGTTGTTTGGAGCCGCGAGTGGAAGTTCCACAGCGCGTTGGTCTGTCGCACGAAATTGGCCTTGGAAGGCATCGGGCTGTTGCCATACCCGAGGATAGTCCACGCCCGCCTAGTATTGAACAAGGTCGGCTTGGCGTCGTAGCTGAGGATTATTTCCGTGATCTTCTCAGCCGACCTTCCGTTCCTCCGCGGTGGCCCTCGGTTGTTTGGGATACCTGCAGCGGCGCCTCCTGGAGCAGCCATGGTGTCCTGATTGCACAAAGTAAACGGGAGCTGGAGATTATCACGAAAGTGGGAGCTGGAGATTGCCACGAAAGTGGGAGCTGGAGATTTTCACGAAAGTGGGAGCTGGAGATTGTCACGAAAGTGGGAAAAGGCCGCTGGAGTTGAGGTGCAATGGCAAAGGCACGACGCCCATGTAGGTTTTTAAATAGGCGCTTTGAAGCTTTACCGCATGTCTTTGTTCGAGCTCGAAGAGTTGCCTGCCATCTCGGGCTCTCTTGCACCGACCAAAGACACGGAATGCCGCACATTCAGCAAAGTCATTGTTCCGCATCCGGCCAGGCTTCAACTTCTCAATTATCCCCAACCGACGCACTACAGGACAATAAACAGCAGTGGGTTTCTACTCTCGCCGGATTTGGGCGACCCGAAACGGCGGGTTGCAGGCGGTGTTTGCGCGGGCCGTTGCCAAAGAGAGCGCCCACGATCCAGCTCAACGGCAAGTGCCCATGGTCCAGCTCAACGGCAAGTGTAGCCACCATCAATGACCATATCGGCGCCAGTCGTGTAGCTGCTGGCGTCGCTGACGAGGTAAACGTAGGCGCCCTTCAGCTCCTTGGCCTGGCCGTCGCGCCCCAACGGAATCATGGTGTGCCAGAGATGCTGCGTCTCCTTGTCGACGAAGTCGGAAAGGCCCGTGTCGATGTAGCCCGGCGAGATGCTGTTGACTCGGGCAAAGCCGCGCCACTCATTGGCCAGCGAGCGCGCGAGGTGGATGCAGCCCGCTTTGGCAACATTGTACGACGTCTGCTCCTGGGGGTAGTTGGCGATGTGCCCCGAGATGGACGAGGTGATGACGAACGAGCCACAGCCGCGCTCCTTGAAATGAGCGCCGACCGCCTTGGCGCAGTACGCCGTGCCGTTCAGGTCGGTGTGGATGACTCGGTCCCAGTCGTCCTTGGAGCCGTCCAGGACGCCCGAGTCTGCCGTGGCACCGGCACTCGGGCAGGGTTAGCGTGGAGCAAGCAGAACTCGAGCCGGGCTTACTTTGCGATGAAGGCATCGATCTTGCCAAAATCCTTGACGACATCGCCCACCAGCTTCTGGACATCGGCATAGTCGCTAACGTCACACTTGTAGCACTTTACTCTGATGCCGTATTCCTCGGTGAGCTCGGCGAGGTTGGTCTCGGCGCCGCTTCGCCTCGACGAGTAGGTGATGGCCAGGTCGGCGCCCATCTCAGCGCACCCCCGGGCAGCTTCAATGCCCATGCCCCTGGGGCCCGAGGCGCCCGTGACGACGACGACCTTGCCCTTGAGGCTGAACAGGTCCATCAGCCGGCTGGCTTGCGGAACGGCGTTTCCCTGGGGAGGCATTGTCCAGTGAAAATTTGAAGAAAAACTTTTAGTTTGCAGCTACAGGCGATTGCTGTGGGAGAGAAGTTCAGCCGTTCGAATCGGTGGCGGTGGTGGTGATTGGTGGTAGTGGTGGGATGATTGGCGGTGGTGGTGATGATTGGTGGTGGTGGTGGTGGTGGTGATTCGTGGTGGTGGTGATGGCTTGTGAAGACGAGAGCATGGGGCGGTTTGCGCATTGCGACGATCGGTGACTTCATCCCATTGAGCTGTTACCGGGCTTGTCGGCAGTGGTGATGTCATTGGTGCTAGATTTAGCGTTGGGATCCGATGCAAGCTGCCCGGAATGCCGGCTGAGCCCAGGAGTGCCCTTGGGGCTGCTGCGTTGCCTGAACATTACAATGACTGGCGCGCAGCGGATCGGGAGAGATGCCCCTCATTGGCAGGTACTATGGGGATGACTCTTGTAGCTCTGTATCGAGCCCCGGGTTATGGGGTGCTCTGCCAGAACACTTTGGTCGTTCTGCGGGCTATTAGCGGGGCTGGGCCCACTTCATCACGCCACAAGCCCCTGGCACGCGTCAGCCCGCGCCCCAAACTCGCCGAGAGCCGGGAATGGCGTTTTCTTGGACAGCGCGTCAACATTATCCACGCACCCACGTTTCACCGCCAAATGCTTCCAGAATTGCTGCCCGACCCAGATTCATCTGGGTGACCACCAGATTCATCTGGGGCACCCGGCACTTTTGCGTCAACATTGGATGCGCACAAACCCACACGCCCGGTGGTCGGCAGGGAGCACGGACGAAAAGGCCTCGGCCCAGGCAGGGCGATTGACACATCTCTGCCGCAGAATGAGGCGTAGGGCAGGTCTGGGGCAACTCTGCCGACAGAACACGCTTCTGCGGCCGGCCGGCGGCCAGCCCGTACTCCGCAATGAGCTGATGATGTCGGATCTGCTGATTGCCTAATCAGTGATCCTGATCAGTGATCCTGATCTGTTGATCGCTCACTGCCGATTGCTAGCAGATCACCCGACCGATGCGCATGAGCGCGGCCCACGGCGATACTTACCAGAGGGAGGACCGCATTTAGGTGACGTGGAGGGCGAGCGGAACTTGCAAGTTACAGGCACTCCCAGTCGTTGCTGGGCGGCCTTCCAGGCGTTGCTCGCTGAGAATGGCGGGGTTTAGCGCCCTATCGTATGGTATGTCCGCGCTAGGTTGGGAACCCCGCATTCGCGCCGCCATCCGAATCGGAAAATCCAAACCCGACATCCCAGCGAGTCCTTGGGCTCGGCCAATTACCAAAACAATCAGGCGTTGCTGTGGCTTGCACACAAACGTTGCCAAAGCACTGTAGACGTCGGCCCATGGCCAACCGCAGCCTCGGCCGTTTCTTGGAACAGAGGTGAAGAGGGCGGGACGCCGAGGAGCCGCCAAGGGACTTTTATTTCCGGGGCGCTGCGCACTCGGCGGCTGCCCAGGGTTGGGGTTAGGCGCGGGCGCTGGCAGAGAGCGGCGCCGCCACGGCGTCTGTGGCCAGCAAGCAGCCAATCAGCACATCAGGCGAGGCGGGCCGGCTAGGGAGAAGTGCAACGCGGCCCAGGGCGGACCTGGGCGGTCCGCGTTTCGGCCGTCACATCCGAAGAGCTGCCAATTGTTTCGGCCACGGCAGCCGTTTTGCACGGCTTGCAAGGGGGCCGGGGCACAGGCCGGGCCGGGGCGCACGGCCGCCACCGGTGCACGATGTCGCCGGAATTACTGAGGTGCTCGGGACGAATCGCCGCCCGCCGCCCCTCATAATAAAACCAAGTGCACGCCAGCGCGGCGCCCCCATGGTCTCCTTTCTCGTCATATCCGAGATGCTCACGAGAGGCTGCCCTGTCGCGTCTTTCTTGGCTAGTCTCGCCCCTCGTAAAACCATCCCAACACCGTCTCACCACCACCCGCCAACACCCAACAACCACGGCGGCGACACCATCACCACCCCCAGGCGACGACGCCAAACTTCATAGGCTGTCGCTCGCACCGCTTCGCTGAGCGACGCGGCGGGCCCATCTCATCCGCGACATGGCCCCGCGCACCCGATCTTCTGATCTCGTCGAGTACATCTGGCCTTGCGGCTATCACGACAATGTCGCGGTGCAGGACGCCCCCGGGATCCCCTTCATCCCGGGCAAGTTTCCCCTGCCGCTGGCCAAGCCCCCCCAGGAGTTCACCGAATACGAGTTCCGCGGCGTGCCGGGGCGTCGCAAGTGCTGCCGATGCTCGGCCACGTACAACATGTTCAAGTGCCCCGACGTGTGCGAGGAGTGCGACCACCCCTTCGACGGCTGTGCCGAGTGCATGCTTGTCGACCAGTCGGGCGTGCGCGAAATCATGACGGCCCAGTACAGGGTCACGGGCGAGTTCGACCAGACGCCCGAGTACTGGAGGTGCAGCTCGTGCGAGAACATCAACGGCTTCGAGGGCCCCGTGGCCGAGAACACCTTCCTCAAGATGCGAGAGGCGAAGAGCCTCGAGGACACGCGCTGCAGAGAGTGCTCAGCCCCTTTCCGCGAGGACGACTGGGTCATCAGCCCCTTCTTCATCTACCTCGGGTCGTGGAACGGCAAGGTCGTCGCCAACAGCGGCCCGTGGCAATGGGCCATGAAGTGGCACCGCGAATGCGCCGGCGGCTACGACAACCACACCAGGTCCGACTGCTACGCCGACCGGCGGAACGGCCGGCGGCGGCGCGAAAACCCATGCATCAACAAGTCGTTTGGTCACAGCGCCAAACATGCCGTCCCAGACCAGGCCTCGATACAGCCGTCCCTTCCGGCCAAGGTATTGCTCGGACTTTCAGGAGCGCGCGAACTGACGAGCGGATCCGACTCTGAATACCAGCAAGACACGCTCGCTATTGCGTCTGACGAGCTGCACATGAATCCCCCGGTGGATATATCCGATGGCGGGCAAGATGACCAGCTCTCTGACAGTTCAGAGCACGATCTGGATCCCCCGTTCGGTGACCAGGAACCAGAAGCTGCGTCTCCGGCGCTCGAGCAAGTGGACAGAGATGGAGGCTATGGCCCCGACGAGTCCGAAGACCGCTCACAAGATGACTCGCCACCAGATGAGCCGGACGGTGAACCGCCAGACGATCAGAATGGGTCCGAAGACTCGCCACCTGACGGCCAGGACGAGGGAGATGTCTCTGATGACCCCGTCGACGGGGCCGGAGAAGACCGACCCGGCGATGACGGGGAGGACAAGCTTCCCGACAAGCCAGACAACGGCGACGGTGATGATGGGGACGAAGAGGGAAAAGAAAACGCCGTGGAGGAAGAAGAGGAAGAGGAAGAGGACAGCGGCCATGAAGAACCATACATCATAAAGAAGAACTACTACGGGATTCTCGACTCTCCAGACGCATGGAAATACAATCCGGGTGGCATGATGCACAATCTCCTCTGGGACGACGACGACGAGGATGCCGAGGAACGTGCACGTGATTCTGGTGATATGTCCTCCGAAACAACCGAACCAGAGGAAGGCGAAGCCAATCGCGACTTGGGTTCTGCCTCGGAAGGCGACGAGCCAGCTGCCGAGGGCGACAATGCTGAACAAGAGCCAGAGGCTGAGCAAGATGTCGGGCAGCCGACCGAGGGCGAAACCGAGGAAACTGCCGAGGAGCTCATAGCAGGGGACGGTGCAACCGAAGACCGCGAGATTGACTCTGAAGCCGTCGACGAAGAAGCGGCCGCAGAAGAGCTGCCCGGATCTGAGTACAGTGCTGAGCCCGAAGGCGACTCTGAAGAGTCGTCCGAGACCCCCCTAGACGAGAACGGAGAAACGGAAGACAGGGAGATTGGTCCCGACGCCGATAGTGAGGAACAGTCTGCCGAAGATCAGGCCGAGGGCGAACCTGAACAGCCATCCGAAGACCAACCCGAGGGTGATTCCGAAGAGACGTCCGGTGAACCCTTGGCCGAGGAGCTAGGTGATCGCGAACTAGATCCAGAAGTGGCCGAAGAACCCCAAGAAGGCACCTTGGAGGAGGAGATTAGCGACGACGCACTTGCTGAGCCCACGGAAGACCCCGTCGAGGAGCCTGTCGAGGAGCCTGTCGAGGGGCCTGTCGAGGAGCCCGTCGTGGAGCCCGTCGAGGAGCCCGTCGACGGAGAAATGGAAGGCGATTCTGAGGACCGGGGCCTCGAAGGTGAGGAAACGGTAGCTGATGGCGAGAACACTGAGGAGGGCACTGAAGGGACTACCGAGGAACCTGTGGAGGAACCCGTCGAGGAACCCGTCGAGGAACCCGTCGAAGAACCCGTCGAGGAACCCGTCGAAGAACCCGTCGAAGAACCCGTCGAGGGGGAAATACAAGGCGATTCTGAAGACCGGGGTCTCGAGGGTGACGAGACACTAGCTGAAGGCGAGAATGTCGATGACGTCCAGGATGTTGTTCAAGAAGATATTCAGGATGGTGTCCAGGATGACATGCAGGACGGTGCTCAAGACGAAATGCAAGACGCTGCCCAAGACGAAATGCAGGATGGCGCCCAAGACGAAATGCAGGACGGTGTCCAGGACGAAATCCAAGAAGGAGAGGCCCAGTTAGGGGACTCGACTGAAGGAGACCGGGGCATTGACAGTGAAGAGGTCCCGGTCGATGGCGAGACCCAAGACGAGCCGCAGGACGGCTTCGTCGAAGGCACAGAAGGTGAGTCCCAGGAGGAAGTGTCTGATACTACTAACGACACAGATGAAATCTACCAGCAGGACGGGAGCGGCGAGGATGCCCAGACCGACGAGAACTACCAAGAGAATTCCGATGACGGTAGCAATGGCGACCAGGACCAAACCCAGGACAACACGGAGGGCGATCAAGATAACCAAGACCAACAGGAAAACGAGGACGAAAACCGGGACCTTGACCAAGGCGAAAGCAGCACCAACGAGGAAAGCCAAGAGGACACAGGCGACAGCACTGGCGAAAGCACAGATAATGCCAGCGAGGAGTCGAGCGAAGCT